CTTCACCATATGCAGTTTTTGCTTTAAGTCAATGTCACCCTGTCTTTTAGACTGCATCCTAATGGTAAGGAGGCAAGGCCAGCCATCCCATGCTTCACATTTTCCTTGGGAAAATTAATAACAGCACTGACAAGCTACATAACAGAAGCCACAAGACCATTTAGGGTTGTAGATGAGATCATTTATCAGTCCAAACTCCAGAGCACAGAGACAAATGTCCCTCTCTCCATCTCTCCTCAGACCAGCAAGCCAGAGCTGTGCTCTGAGGACCACAGGACAGGGATCAATGGGCTGGGCCATGGCACCAGCACTCCGTGCTCCCCAAGAAGCACAAATCCAGCCTGCTCATACTAGCAACAGCCTCTCCAGAGAGAACTCATGTATATGGGGCTTCAATGAGGCTGAGAGAGGAGTCTCATCAACCCATACTTCCACTGACCTGCAGTGGAAAATACTGTATTTTTAGAAGCAACGGAGATGACATACTATTGCTGTGGATGCAATGACACTGACAGCCCATGGCCACACTGCACCCCTTGGGCTTCTGACTGGGGTGTGAGGCAAGTTCACCATGAGTATGGAGGGCAGAAGATGGGATCTGGCCCATAATCCCCAACATCACCTGAGAAATATTACACCCTATTATTTTAGGGGCACAGGACTCCTATTAGGTCCCTAGTCAAAAAAATATGAAAAACCCCCAAACAAATGAACAAAAAAACAAAACAAAACCCCCAAAAACCAACTAAACAAAAAACCCCAAACAAACAAAACAACTCCCAAAACAGATTAAAGGAAAAGTGGGCTTTTCTCCATTTGCCAGATAACATTTCCATTTCTGGAGCCCTTACTTTGCAAACAGAAGGTGCTTCAGCAGGTTAGCACTGGGGTTTGCCCACAGCATCAATGTTAACATCCTAGTTACTAGATAGCTGAGCTAGCTCAGCTTACAAGAGGATGGACTTGTGTACCATGTGCCTGCATTTTTTTCTTTTTAAGAGGAGTTAGGGCTATGATTTTAGCAAATTCAGCCTCAAATAGAGGACCCCTTTGCTAAGTCAGTTTTGGGGTCTTCAAAAAAACAGATCAATGGGGCAGCAGCCAAAGCCAACACTGGGACCTGGTGCAACATATTGATTTTTGGTGGTGGCGATCCCTCCAGACCCTCAAGAAATAATAAACCATTCAAACTGAAATCTGAGAAAAAGCAACTGGTCTACAGACCCTAAGGATATCTTGGTTTCACTTCCACTGTAAATAAACCTCAGGCAGCTTGAATGCTGACATACAAATACCAGTTGTCCAAAGAAATAATTCATAATATAGAATTCTGCAGTGAAGAAATGACAGATGGAAATAAATGGTTTTATTTCTCTGAAAAACTGACCATTGGTCAATAAAAATGCTTTTCTCACCCCCCCAAAATCCAACCCTTCCCCCCCCAACTCATGCAATAGAAACATTAAAGAAAAATTCACTTGACAAGTCATTTGGATGTCAGTAAAAACCCTGTAATTAGTACAGAAATCAATTTTTAAAGCTTGCTGCAAAAAATTATGCTTATGAATAAAATGTTTGACTTCAAATTGAATTCAGTGCCTGTTCAGCATAATGGAAAATAATTGAATGGGTGGCTCAACTTTCATGTTTTTGGAGTTTACTAAGTTTTCCCCATTGGTTTTCGTTATGCATTTTAGTGGGCATCATAAAACAATGTGTCAATTCGACTTGCTTGTGCCAGTCAAGCACTGAGATGATCAGCTTCCTTCTCTAGACATATGGCAACAGAGAGGAGAATCCTTCATTGGGCCAGAGTGCCTGGCTAGTACCTACCTGAAGACAGAATAAATTAGCAGCACCTATTTACCTGTGCTGCTTCTGGAAAGAGAGATTAACCCAGTGACAAAGCAGGACTTCACTTTCTCCAGCACAGAGTAAATTGGCTCAGTCTCCAATGGGACACTCAGTTTTAAGGTTCACCCAAGCATGCCAGGATCCATACTTACATTATGCAGTGTTTGGTACATTCAGGGGAAGAACTAAACCCTGGATCAATGGCTGTTGTAGTAATCCAACATTGTCATTACCCAAAGAAAAGGTGAGGACCAAATTCCTCTGCCTGTGTCTCATTGTGGGAAGGGGAGTTGGTGCCATCTGCAATCTCTGCACGTCTGTAGGAGTTCTTCTGGCAGCTGCTTAACCAACTTGCTGAAGTACCACGTTGGCAGCTACCACTCACTGCAGTTCTGCCTCTTGTTATTAAAAACATCAATGGCATAAAATGGAGTCAACGCTTTCTAATAAAAAATTAGATCAATTTAGATGTTAAAATTGCTAACCTCCAAAGACAAGCTGACAGTAATCTGGTCCTTCTTGGTTCTCCCCACTCCCCCCACATTCCTGGAGAAATTGCTCATTTGTTTGTTGATCAGTTTTTCTAAAGAACATTTTAAAAACACGTGGTTATAAACCTCAATTGCAAACAGGACTAATCTCTTTTGCTCTCTAAAAACCTACAGCCAGCTTATTCCTGCATACATTTTTCATCAGCCATTACTTTGAATATTCATGACCTCTTACTCCATGACCACATTATAACTGCAGAGACATTTACATTCAGGGTCTCAGAGTGATTTTTGACTCCATCAACAACAAAAGCAGGCTTGGTGAGAGGATGCCCAGCCAGCTGAGGACTTGGAAGGAGCACAGTGATATCTTTAAGGTCATTGACTTGGACAGGCACACGCTGACCAAGCAAAACCACCAGCAGAGCACAACCTGCTGGCTCTGGGAGCCACATGTTGGAGAGCATCAGAGACAAAGCTCCCGTGCAGAGGCTGCAGGCAGTGTGGGCCCTGCCAGCATTGGGGGGACACCTTTGGGGCTGCTGATGCAGCAGGCTTGCAGGGCTTGCTTGCCAAGGAGCAGGGAAAGGAGCTGCACTCCCCACTCCAGCCTGCACAGCAGTCTTTGAAGAATCACATCACCTTGCACTGGGACCCGTGGACTCTCAAACCCACGGGGACTGGCATCTTTTTGGACAACACAAATTTCATCACTCCCAACAGTTTGAAGATCTGTTAAAAATATTTATTTCCCTGGGTTTTAGCTTTCCAACTTCTATGCAGACTAACAACCAAATTGTGGGCAGTAAGAGCAAGCATTTGTTTATTTTGTATGAGGACTTCTTGCTGCTAATTGAAAACAAGCATTTTCAATGAGGCAGCTGTTTCAGTACTGTGAATAGACAGATCAGCATCACATTGAAGATCTAATAACCCACTAATGAACCTTAATTTTTAGAGGCCCCTCCCTCACCCATTTTCACACTTCAGTAATTCCAAACCATTGATATGTGATGCCAGTTATTTAAAGATGTCCTCAGACATATTTTAATAAAAACCAGAAAAAATGTAACTTTTTTTTGTTAGACTATATTGGAAACCTTGTTACATGTATCTAACAGTTTCTCTTTTTCTTAAATAAATAGCAAAGTGTCACCAAAATGAATGGAATGCCAGCACCATTGCGTTGATAGAAATTTCCACACCAGGATGAACACACAAATTCTGTAACAGTGCAAAAAAGGAGACTTTGGAGGAAAGGTGGTGGTTGCTGGTGCATCAACCCGTGAGCAGCCTGTGCAGTGGCATTGGGATGTGGTGCCTCTGCAAAACCTCACAGGCCTGGAGCCCGTGCCTGCAGAGGTGGCCCCAGTGAGACTCTGCAAGAGAGCAGCTGGCAGGGCTTCCAATGCAGAACGTGGAATTACTGCCTGCTACCAAGGGACACAGCCGATGGTAACACAAGGGGCTGGCCATGTCACTCTCTGACAGAACAACGGCTTGAAATGACGGAAATGAGCAACCTGAAAACCAAACAGGCTGAGTAACACTCAGCAGGGCAAGGGCTTGGAGAATCAAAGTTGCCAACTCCTTAATCAAGAGGGAACGATGCAAGGATTCGCTGTTACACTGAAGGTTACAGAACAAGGTGTCATTTTTTCATGGGTTTCCCTGGGCTGAGCTGGTGTTATTTTCACGTCTGACCAACAGTTTCTCTTTCAACTGGGACAGTGCTGAAGGAACAGCAGCCATGTGCACCACACCAGAATATCCCTCAACAGCCTCTGCTGACTTAAACTCACTCCACCCTGTGCAGGCAGCTCTGCCTGCCCACTGCCTTGCCCCTCTACATGCTGGAGTGCAGTGCAATCCCCCTCTCTGCTTCTGTTGGCTTAAACCAGACCCTTGTTATTTTAAACAGGAGTTTATTGTATTTAATACATTATAAAATTTGAAAAAATTGTAGGAAAGCAGCAGATTCAAACCAGAGCATCTCTACCAAATATTAATTATTCTGGCCCCCTTTGAAAAACACAAAACAAAACAACAAAAAAACTCATTCAAAAGAAAAGTTAACCTTTCACATCTGTGAGGGCTGACAAAAAGTGTGCGACTTCTGTACAAACTACATTTAAAATTTCAGCTTTCCAATGCAATGGATGGTTGTCTCCTGAACACCTGCCCATCCACCTCTAAAAAAGACAGACATAAACCTCCATATGCAAATAAAGTTGAGTCAAAGTGTGTACACATTAAAAAGTGGATGGCTGTTTGGCAATGAAAATGGGTGAAGAACAGTCCATGAATCCCCCCCTGGCAATGGCTTGTACACCGTTAAGTGGGCCCGGGAAGGGCCTGGGACACTTAATGGCCATCACAGCACCAACCTCACCTACCACATTTTGTCATTGCATTTCCTACCCTTTGACATATACATACATATATATATGTACAGACATACATATACATACATATTTTTTTTTATGTGTGTGTGTGTTTTCTTTTATACCTTGAGGTTATTATTATTATCACTACTATTCCAAGTGTTCCCATATGAATTCAGGTGTGGTCTCTATATTTGATATAAATGTGTCTTTTATTCAATTTTAGTTCCAGGACTTGTTTGGAGTCCAAACTGCACATGAAATGTCCCCCTTTTTGTTTTTCCTCTTTGTTTTCCTTTTTTTTTTTTTTTGCATAAAGAAACATGTCCATTTTAGTCCAGAGGCTCTTGCTTTATTCGAATGACAGAGGGTGCACGAGATGTCCTTCTGAGTTCTCGTCTCAGTACGTATTCACTGAATTGGGAAGAGTCCACTCCACCTCCACATGAGCCAACAATCTCAAACCCTCTTTGCTGTAACCTCTCAAGTACCTGCAAAAAGAGGAAACAAACACCAATGGATAAGTAAATTAACAGACTACTTGCAGTGCAATGATAATAACTGCTGTTTTCAAATGGATTCAGTCATGGGGAAAAAAAGTGGTTACACAGCTTAACTGTACTGGATTGATTTCTGCTGACTATGGCCACTGAGCAGTGAAAAAGAAAAATGAAGAAAAATTTATTTTATTTTTTTAGTACTGTCAACAAATCCAGTTTTCTTCTGGCCACAGAAAGAGGACTAGAAAAACACATTCTCTGCTTTACAGAATTTACAACACAAAAGGGCAAATACATGATTGCACAGCAGATGCTGAGCAAACACCACAATGAAATGGTGACAGTGTAGATAACAACGGTCATAATTTCAGAAAACCTACCATGATATTTACTAGAGACTTAAAAACCAACTCTTTGTTTTGCCTCGCCTGTGAAGGTGATTTCCTGGGATTTACCAGGGTCAGCCTGCTAAACCCACGAAGGGGCTGATGCTCCTGGACCCCACAGGATGTGGGACCCTCTATTCAGACCTCACAAGGGCTGTGCTGGAATCTGGCGCCTACCATGGCTTCCCCAGCTGTTTCACCAGTTGTGAAATTGGCTTGCATGCATGCTGGGACAACACTGGCAAGCAGAATGGCAGAAGACTGCAAAGGACTAGGGCAGGGGAAGAAGCAAGCTGAGGTTTAAAAATGCTTCAAAGAAGACATGCCACATCTTTTCATAAAATGCTTCAGGTTGGCAAATGTCTTTCCAAAGTACTTGAGCATGGCTAACTGCACAGCAGTCATATAAAAAAGGAAGGGATAGGAAAAGAAACCTGGAAACAGTGATCAAAACACATGTGATCTTTAGCTTTTAACAATATATGCCAAAATCCCCTGCCCCTGCCCAGATGTGTCAGTGTAAGCCACTGGAAAAAAGAACATGAGAACTTGGGTCCTGAGAAAAAATGTGGTGGAAACAACTATGGAAACTAGCTCAGCCCTGGACAATCCATTTGTTCTGTACCTCATCCTTCAGGTCTATTGGTAGTCCTTTCCTGTGTCCCATTTTTATTAGTACTGGGAGATAATTATGTCCTTCCTTCCAGTGTGGGATCATTACACAAGCCTGCACATATTTTGCCACTCTAACTCAGGTTTTTCACATCAGTAAATATGCTTTGTAATTCTTATTTGTGCAACAAAAATGTAAGCATCAGAATAAGTGACAAAGTGTTCAAGGATACAACTGCCTTGATAACTGTCATATGATATAGCTAAGCAGTCATCCTTGAAAATTCTTTTCAGTTGTAATCTGACATCTAAGGCTGTCCTAAATTTGCATTAATCTCGATGACAAAATATTTTGATGTTTCAGCATGACAGTCAAGGCCAGTAAGAGACAACTGTCCAAGCATAACATGGGTTAGATAGATCTAGATAGGTCTGTCTGGAGCCTTGTGTTAAGTGCTAGCACAGGTGTAGTGCCTGGCCAGCCTTCAGGGTGCCCCAGTGCTTCATCTAGAGAAAAAGAGGCTCAGGGGTGACCTTCTAAAACTACCTGAAAAGAGGCTGTAGCAAGGTGGGTGTCAGGCTCTTCTACCAGGAAACCAGCAACAGGTCAAGAGGAAATGGCCTCAAGATGCACCAGGGGGCATTCAGGTTGGGTTGGACATCAGAAAGAATTTCTTCACCATGAGGGTGGTTCAGCATTGGAATGGACTACCCAGGGCAGTGGTGGAGTCACCATCCCTGGAAATATTCAAGAAATGACCAGATGTGGCACTTGGTGCTGTGGTTTAGTTGACATGGTGGTGATTGATCAAAGGCTGAACTTGTTGATCTTGGAGATCTTTTCCAGCCTTAATGACTGTGATTCTCTACCTGGACACTGGGACCTGGCAGATGAAAAGATGCCAAGCTCAGCTTGCAAGCCTGTTCTGTAAAAGAATTCACCCATGAGCCTGCAGCACTTAGGTGGTGTGTTTAAGTCAAACAGCATCAATTATGCCATTGATGATTTCACATGGGAAGTGCTGGCTATGCAGGATGTGCTAACTAGGGGCAGGCAGGTGTCTGAGGCTGGGTGTTTTTAACCAACAAAGGATAAATACATAACACTAACACTGCAGTTGATTATAATTATTCCAGGAATTACCTGCATTTGTCTCCCAGATTTTTTCTTATCCCTTATCCATTTCATAACATCTACTGATTTTAGACATTGCTACATTGCATCATAGAATACTTTGAGTTTAAAGGAACTTTTAAAAATCATCAAGTTCAACCCCTCTGCAATGAGGAGGGACATCTACAACTAAATCAGGCTGCTCAGAGCCCTGTCCAGCCTGACCCTTGAATATTTCCATGGATGGGGCATCCACCACTTATCTGGGCAACCTGTTCCAGTGTTTCACCACCCTCACTGAAAAAATTTCCTCCTTTTATCTAGTAAAAATCTACCCTATTTTAGTTCAAATCATTATCCCTTGTCCTATCAATTGCAACAGGACTCCACTATGCTATAGAAAATCAGGAAAAACCACTGGAAGTGAAAGTGAAGGGTTTTCCCTATGACCATGGAAAATTCTAACACTACTGTAGTTTGTTTGCAAAGAGATTTGAATTGATACATGAATAAAATGGAGATACATGAATTAAAGGGATTAAATGATGATACATTAATTAAATGGAGAAAGACAACTCGACACACAGAAGTTAAGTAACTTGCTTAAAGCCTCCAGCTGATTCTGCTCACCAAAACGCTCCAGTGACATGGAACAGGGTCAGCCCACTGGCACCTGGCCAGCAGCTCCCTTTCAAAAACTGCCCGTGTGACGTCCTACCTGAACTGAGTTGAGGTGACAGTATCCGTTCAGCGGGAAGCGGATGACGTGTGTGGAGTCGTGGTTCCAGCCGGCGTTGACAGAGTTACACATCACATCCCCGATCTCCGGGAACACCTCCTCTATCAATGACTTATCTCCACTCAGCGTAATCCTCTCGCCGAGATCTGGGGCCACTCGCACCACCAGGCACTCGCAGGACTTTGAGAAGCGGCCGCTCTCCCGGTCCTGTTTCCACCGTTCCATCTCTCCTAGCATGGGCTGAAGCTGGAAATACTTTGCTTCTTCATATAACAAGCTGTAGTCCTGAAAGACACGCACATTAAGAGAGGCATTGCTAATGTGGTGCTTAAGGTAGATGGATATTCAGGCCGACACTGCTTTAGGAACCCTTCCAACAGAGCTCCTCATGACTGTGTAGGAAGGTGTAATAAAGTAACAGTGCAAGCAAAAAATAACCATCAGCTCTCAGGGGTCTCTGTGGTCACAATGACCCCGAGATATGTTAGTCTCTTTGCCCAGCCTGGCAGCTGAAGAAGGAGTCAGGATTCTTCTGTTCTTGTTCTCAAGGTTGTTTATTATTTCTTATCTATAACACTCTTTCTCTGACCTGCTGAGGTCTGTCTGGCAGGTTGGGTTGAGGCACACTGACTGCCTTCAAAGGTGGTGTTCTCTTTCATACTAAAAACTACATGTCCATTATTTACAATAATTTCCCAATTCCTATCACCTATGTTAGACAGTGTGTTTCTACTCTAAACCAATCTAAAAGTACCAACATCACCCAGAAGATGGAGGCTAAGAAGAAGAAGGAAGAAGGACAAGGCATGCCCAAATCCCTCTATCTTGGCACCTGAACCCCCATTCTAAAAACTCAAAATTCTACATTTTCACCCTGTGATAAATTCACTAACACTCTATTCAAACTCTTGTGTCTTGCACATCTTCATACAAAGTTGGTAATTGTTTTTTCCAAGGGCTAAAATCGAAGGCACAGGTGTTTTTGACTCTGTGCCAAGGTTTCCAAGCCCCCTGTCAGGGTTTCAAGTCCTCCAGGGCAGCCAGAGAAATTTCCCGGATTCCAACAATCAGCTACTTGGAACACAATGAGTATAGCAGCACTTGCAAAAGTAAGGCTATGCTTGCTCAACTCACTTCTGAAAAAAAAAAAAAAAAAAATCCCACTTTTCCCCATATTTCATCCCCACAGTGATGTCATATAATAATGATCTCATTGAACAGATGGAACAGAATTCAATCAGGATTCAGAAAATTCATCACTAGGATCCATTGTGTCTTACAGCAATACTAGCAGGCATTATAACAGGTATAAGAATGTAAATGAGGAAGCCTGCAATGTTTGTTAGTGTAAAATGATTCAGATATTTGCATAATGTTTGCACATATTAGTGCATTTTAAAAATTAAGTATTTTTTAATACTTCCCTATTTTGCCACTAGTATTGTTTACTACATCATCTCAAATGCCAGAGCAGAGGGAATGCATTTCTAGGCATAGCCACTGCAGAAGTAATTTAGAACTGATGATGTGGAGTCTGCCTACTGCCATTTTTTAAATTTAAAAAATGTTTTTTAAAAAATCTTATTTTTCTAGGTGTAAGAGCATAAAACCATTTGGAAAATATTTATACAGAGAAAAGAGATACATGAGAATTAGGGATGAGAGAGAAACAAAATGACAAGAGAAGCCTGGTAACAGTCAGTATGGTCCTGAATTTGAACTGGAAACCAAATACTTGATGAGGACACCTAAATCATGGTAAAAATACTAAATACTGCTTACATTTATTGTGTAACAAAAAAAGTAATGTAACACATACATTTCTAAGAAACAAGAAACACTGTTCATTTTAATCACTGGTTTTTTTGTACACCTTAAAGCATAACTGGGGAGGACACCCCTTTGAACATCACAGTTAGGTGAACTTGCCAGGAATTACATTTTTAATTTCAACACAGCTACAGTATATTTATGTGTTTAAAAAGCTCTACATATGTAATTTCTTAATATTGCATGAAAGGTGACTTTTCCTTTTTCTGTATTTCTGATTACCTGCAGGAGAAGTGCCGAGAGCAGCACAAATCCATGCTAAGGCTTCAAAAGAAGGAAGTGATGCTTATCTGTTTTCTCCAAACTCCTCATTATTCAGGGAGATCTGCCCTTGTCACTAGGGGAGTAGCAAGGATGTGTCTACAGCAGATAATTCAAAGCTTGCTGAAATACAGCTCTTGAACTCAGCCTCACACCTGTTATGCCCAAATGCCTGAAAAACTGTCTCAGCTACGAGGGGAAAAGGACTGAATACCAGTCCTGCTGCTCCATCCCTGCCTCATCACCCATCACCTCTCCTGTCCAATCCCAACTGCTGCATTTCCTGCAGTGAACCAGGTGGTCATGAAGTGAAGGTAAGGATCTGTTCTGACTGAAGACCCCATATATATACCCTCATACCTACTAGCAGATAAACATCGCATGGATTCTGAGGCTCTGCCTCTGTAAGCTTTGTCTGACATTGAAATATCACTAATTCAATTTGTTACTAAAAACTAAAAAAAAAAAAACTAAAAAAAAAAAGCAACCACTTTATTCAAGTTTAAATAATAAACATAGAACAATTCATTCCTGACTAAAACTCCAAAATTAAACTTGCAGTACGCATTCAAGAATCTGAGGGAGAAAACAGTCTATGACTTAATGCCCAAATATTACCATGTGTGCAGTTTATTTTGTCAATATTGTGATTCACACACCATTTTCTGAATTTTAGTGTGGGAGTGGAAACTGGAGCTGCTGCAATCACTGGGGAAGCATAAAATTGGATGAAAGGACAAATAATCAGTAAAGCTCATGAGCAGTCAGTTGCAGATTGTCGCTTCTGTTTCCAAGAGTATGGTACAACATTTAATTTCCCTGGGTCAAATCTGGCAAGGTTGCTTTATTACCACTATAGCCAGGAGGGGAAAGTTTAAAATTGATGCCACTCTAGGAAAGGAAGACACCACTTTAGCAACCCCATTCTTACTTTTGCCATGTACCTGAAATCAAACACCATACCCTGCAAGTCCACCTTCCCTATCCAGGCCTCTGTTTTGACTACACACCAGATACTTGCTTTACCAAGGTACATGCAAAACACCCAAGTCCCTTGAAATCTCACCTTGAAATCATCAGGAATGAGGAGTTTTGATGTCCTTAAGAAATTCAAGATATATCTGAACATCTGCCCATCTCTGTCGATGAAATAATGCTGCTTGAGACTGTCGAGGACAATGGGCTCTGTGCCATCGAAAAGCCGGCCAATTCTGGAGAGGAAACAAGAGACAAGGAGCACAGTCAGACCAAGCTCAGCTCAAGAGCTGCTCAAATAGCCCAGCACTACAAAACCCTCCCATGCACACTTCACTGAAGCAGCTCTGTGGCTTTGTTTCATTAGAAAAGGGCTGGTTTCAAACCACTGTGTAAGCCACATATTTTCCAGCATAGCCTCATTAAGTTCCAAGCAGCACAGCTGGGGAGGTGGAAGGGAAGAAGCCAGGCCAGCAGCCTCTCCCACCCACCTCACTGCCCCAGTCTGTATCTCATAAGATGACAATGCCTCAATTATTTTGGACACCTCTTTTGACAGTTCCCTTCAGCACAGCTCATCCCCTCTAGATGCTCCAACGCCCTGGACTGACTCATTCTGTTTTATACAGCACTTAGGGAACTTGATTTAGTTTGGATTGCATAGGGAACTTGATTTAGTTTGGATTTAGTTTGGAATCTGTACCTGGGGAATAGTTTGGTTTGGTTCTTTGCTTAGTTTTCACTTGTTTTTAAACTCAGGTCACTTTTTGGATACCATTTACTGCAACCAACATTAGGACAGGCACAGCTAAGGTAGGGGCAGCACATTGTGGTAATGTAAAGATGGGGGTGCAGAGCTGATAACATTTCAATGTGAGGTAATGCTTTAATGTAAAAGTTAAGTGCTTGTGGCAGGTATCAAGAAGAACACTCAAATAATACAGAAAAATATCTCAAGTTTTAGACACCACCCACTGACCACTAGAACCACACAGCCACTTAGAGAGCCTCCTCTTGGCAACAGGTCTTGCAACATCAACCACTGAGAACAGATACATTTCTGCATGTGGGCCTCCCAAATCAGCTTTAGTTAGAGCAATAGGAAGGGCTGAAAAAGTCAAACAAAACCCTCAGAGTGACACCAAATAAATGTTTTGTTACTGCACTGGGGCATTTGCAAAACACTCCTGAGTCACTGGTGGTTTCCCAATGAAACGAGCAGGAGTTACTGGCAGGTCTGATTTTGTGTGCCTGTTCACATGTCTGTAGTGCAATGTGGAAGCACTTTTTGTCAACAAACAGTCACGGCACACTGGTTTTGTTTTGTTTTAAAAGCAGTGAATAAACAATGAACCCCCACTACCAGCAATAAAAAAAAGCCACCAAATACTCAGAGGTGATCAGCCCTCCTGGCTGCACGAAGCACCCCAGGCTGAGATGCCCCATCCAGTGGCCAACAGAAGGGGATGTCCAGAAGGGATTCAAGAGGCAAAAGAAAGAAGTGGTTCCCAAAGAGGGGGAGGCAGCAGGGCTTGCAGCAGGGCCTCAGGGAACTGCAGAGGCGTAGGGCTCCAGGCAACCATACACTGTGTTGCATCAACAGCCAAATATCCTCCCTTTGAAAATGGCACAGGCAGCCCAAATTGAGTTTGGAACAATGTCTGTGCCTGGAGCTGGTCTATATATAAGTTGTGAACAGAATACAAATCTCATCTATAGCTTCTCACCAGCTGGGAGGAGACCAGAAAACAAAACTCCATTAACCCCAGCTGGCCATTTACAATTCTGTAATAAATGCATGAATCAATTCAAGTTGCATGAAATCTGTAACATACAACAAATTAAATATATTTTGCATCATGAGCAGGTACAGAACACTTTTTTTTCAAAGCCATCCCTTGAACTATTTGAGCTTTCTTCCTCAAAGACTTGTTACTGCCTGCCCTGCTGCTCAAAAGCTGCGACAGCCCATATAACACAGGCTCCTGTTCACGTGGTGTATGAGCCACATTTTATGTCTAATATGGAAGTACTCAGCATTTAGAATTAATTTTCCCCTATACTCAAGCATGTCATCTTCAAATTTATCACGGAATTCACACACAAAACATGTATTTGGCCAAAGTCAGTCATTACTGAAATGTATAATTGTAATTGGTTTCTGCACCATTTTCCTAGTTCTAAATTACTTATATAATTACATATTTTAAACCTCTAGGCTTTTTGTCTCCATTTTATTAATTGTTTAGAGAAGAGCAAGATAGTATCAGAGGATGGAGCCTTCAGACAAAACCATAATGCTGAGGAGAGTGCTCAGCCACTGGGAGTGCTACCTGGGACCTGAATGTCTTTGGGAATGGACTGGAAGTGTTAACAGAAAGCGCTGCCTCAGTGCTCTGCTGCTCTGCAGCAGCAACAACAGCAGCAGCAGCAAAATCCCAGGAACTGCAAAGTCCCAGTTCCCTCCTGACTCCCCTCCCAGGATCACTCTGCAAGACACTTTCACACATTAAAACAGCTTTGGAAGGGTAGACCCCCAGCAGAGACTTCTGTAAAGAAAATATTTTTTTTTCCTTTTCAGATGGAAAAATGTAGATTCCAGCATCCTTCATGTGGCCTTCAAGGAAAAAACCTGAGGTACGATGGGATCCAAATCTGGTGACATGGTCCTGGTTCCTAATCTGCATTTGCCACATCCATCAGGAGAGGAGACTGGGCTATGCCAGGATCTAGCGAACAACCAGCATCCTCACCTTCCAGCATCCTCACCAGGAACTCTTGTGTTCCCAGGGGCACAGTGGGAAGCACTCCCTCATGCCTCACCTGTCACCTCCTCAATTGTACAATACAATTTGATCACCATCCTCCCTGTCACCCAAAGCTTTGCTGGCACTCCTGCTGGGTCTCACACTGGGATTATACATGCTTAAGAGACACCAGTTTGCTAGCACAAGAAAGGACTGGTAAGTCATTGTAATTTCACTTCCCAAGAAAACCTGAAAGATGTTTTTCCCCATCTTCTTCTTGACAATGTTGGCTGATGACTGGCAAAGACACCTTTCTGTTTTAAATGACAAATACATAACAGCTGAATGGAGTTTCGAGACAGGAGAGCACTTTGAAGGAGGTTTGCAAAATAAGATGATAATTATATGCAGAATTAGCCAAATATCAAGGGTAAAGGATAAGAAACTGTAGTCCATTTACAAGAAAATGTGCTTCTGAAATATTTAATTAAAACTAACAGGCTGGAATTTTCCATATATCAGGAAAATTAATGTCCCATGGGTTGAAAGTGTGACCTCCAATGGGTAATAATTAATGTCTGTGGCTTTAAGTATCATTCCACTGTCAGAAATTGAATGCTTCAAGGGTTGAAAATATAACCAGTGGAAAACTCTGCTTCCATGCGAGAAAAGACACAAACTAGGTGCAGCTACAAGCCCTCGTTTACTGGAGAAAAAACAACAGGGAATGGAAAATATTGTCATTTTAATTCCATAAAATACTACAGGGATGGATCTTTCTTCCCACAGATCAGCACTTCTGCAACAGCATTTCTATACCAAAAAGCTAGCACAGGAAGATGATTGCTTGTAGGATTTCTCAAATTCTTCAGAATAAAGTCCTACTTGTCAAGTATCAAAATATACTGTCTGCAGCAAAACTGTATACATAGTGTGTTTATAGCCTTGATCTCTTGTTGTATAAATATTTAAATATATTATTATACACATAAAGAGAAAAGACTTCACTTTAGTATATTCTGCCTCAGCTGGAAATGTGGGAAAGCAGCAATAATTAGGAACAAGATGCCCAGTAGTAATTAAACAAGTCAATTATTGCAAAACTCTCTTAATGCCAAGAAAAAATGACAGAGTTCTACCAAGTGTTTTACTGGCTTCACTGGACAAAGCTAAAATTCTTCATTTCTGTAATCAAAAGGATCCAATGAACATGGAAAAGCTGCAAGCCTTGATGTTTACAAACATGCAGAATATTACATTACTTTCAAACTAAGGTAAAAATAAGCATTTCTCCTCTGAGAAAATACAGGTTTCTTATAATTGAATATATTCAGCATATAATTTCTTCTATTAACATCTTTATCAGAGGACACTACAAACTAACTGAAAATATTTTGCAATATACTACTTTCAACAGTTCTGAGCTGCCAGAGTTTGGTGCTCCCCACGTCTTTCACAGAACAAGAAAAAGGGAGGAAAAGTGGTGAGAAGTCCTTTTTTTAACCCATCAGAAGGGCTGTGCAGCAGGAGGAGCAGCAGTGGTGCCCTGGAACCTGCAACCCCACACTAATGGCAAGGCAAGTAACTGCCTGGATTTCACTGAGGGACGATATTCAGCAGCCAGCAAAGAGCAAAATACTCATGAAAACACATATCTTTCCCTCTAATGATGAATCACATGACAAAGTAAATGTATTTGTTTTGAAATCTTACTCATCTGGTTGGAGCCACTGCAGCAAAGGGATTAGGAGTTTGGTCCTTAAAAATTAAGTGCAAGTTTCATTTTCACATCATTATATTTATGTGGCTAATGGGAATGCTTATTTAACACTCTGGAGTGTGAGGAGAGTGAGCTGTAACGAGCTTTTACTTTTTTTTTCCTCTGCAACTTTTTAGTTCGAGCCATCCTTATTAATTTCTTTTCATTTTCTTTTACTGAGTGCTCAAAGGCAATTTGCATAAGAGTCCATTATAAATGAGATCTGTTTAATGGTATGCTCATCTCATGGCTATTTAATTTTACTTCCTCGTATGTCTAAATTATATAATTTTGCACTGTCCCCTAGCAGCTAGTACAGTTGAAGTGGTGTCCATGCCAGTGAGAAATGTTATCCTACCCAAGTGGAGAATTATGAGGTTTCTATTCTTTTTTTTAGAGAACCACTTTGACAGTATCAACCTGCTTTTATTTTTTGAATAACTCACATAATTTGGATCCACAGAGACTGAATACATAGCAACCTTTATAATTCTGCATAACAAAAGTTGGCTCATAAACATAACAGAATACATTTGCAATTTTCAGGAACATATATTACGAAAACCACATTTTAACCAAATACCCTGTTGTAATCTCTTGCTCTCAGTGCTATTATAATTTGTTCTTATCTTTTTCTTCTTACATTTAATTTAAGGTTTCATGTCCATGAGTCTCAGGAATTTCTTGGCACATACAGTTCCTACATTATGAGAAGATGGATTAATACAAA